CCCCCTTTTACTCTCTTCCACCTCCCCCCACCCGGACCCCACCTTTCCTCTGGCAATCACTATTCTGCTGTCTGAGTCTGTGAGTCTTTTTTTTTCTTTGTTTAATCCTTTCACCCATCTCACCCAGCCCTCCCCCTCCCCCCGACACCTGTCAGTCTGTTCTTTGTATCAATGAGTCTTTCTCCATTATCAACCAACTGCTACTTAGTTGACTTACAAAATTCATCACTTATTTCCATTTCCTTCTCTGTAAAAAAACCTGACTAATGCCCACACCATATTGAATGATTGAGGCTGGTAAATTTCTTTCCATATATCTAATCTGCTATCTGCAGGCGCAATCTATATTGGTATCTGTATCTCCTGGAAACTTGTTGAAAATACAAATTATTAAACTGCACCCACACCCAGAGTCCCATGGCTAGAAGTCGTGCTCATTGCCTTCTCTCCTTCAACTCACATCGTGGTTCAGTGGAGAGTTCCCTATGCCCTGTTGCCTGAGAATAAAAGAATTTGGCCCTGGTTTACAGATGTTTCTGTCAAAAAAAACAGCACCAGGCACTCAGGTGGGGCCTAAAGAAAAATGGAAAGGGAAACTTTTTTACTAAATAAAATTTCAAACAGTAGATTTCATGGTAAACTTTGTCGGGGGGGGGGGGAATTTTTTTCTTTCAGGAGATTATCCTCAATTTTAATCATATACCACTGGAAACATCACACAAATAACACATATACATTAGTAGGTAACCTACTGGGTTCAATTAAACAATTGATTCATTCAATAGTTATAAAGTGTAGTCTACTTTGAGAACTAATACTATAGTAAATGGTGCATAATTCTGTAAGGAACACCATCTATATTAATTAGCTATGCCACAATAATGCTGTCTAGCAAACCACCTAAAACTCAGTGGTATTGAGTAGTAATGTTACCGGAAAGAGGACTTGGCCCTTGGCGGGTCTGCCTAGGACCATCTGCTAGTGTGTGGGATTCTTGACTTCATGCAGGAAAAATTTCACAACACAAATCCAGGTGATATGAAGGGAACATTTATTAAAGTTGGGGACAGTAAAACAAGAAAAAGCTTAGCATAGAAGAAACAACAGGAGAGCCTAGGCTGGTCTGCCTTAGCTCTCAAGGGAATTACAGAAATGGGGGCCTGGGGGTCAGGTTCAGGGGTTAACTTGGGACAAACTGCTGCTGTCCATTGCTCCCCTGGTGGAAAGTCTCATGGGGTCCTTTAGAGTTTAGGAGATGTGTGCCTGTGGGGAAAGAAGAGAAGAAGGGGGAAGGGAATGGCACACAGGCTACTCCCCAGAGGGAGAGCGGGCACTAGGTCCTTTGTCTTGAGGTTTTTCTTTCTTTCTTGCAGGCAAGAATCTTAGGGGAGATCTTAGGGGAGGGTTTCAGCAGAATAATCATGAGTTATCTATGCGTTCTCCTCAGGGTTGTGGTCTCCACTGATTGGTCAGTGTCAGGGCAGGGGGTCATTAGTCACTGCAGCTGGCCCTGGTGTGGCCCACCTGACTTTGCTGCTTTTCTGGGTTGGAGCTGAAATACAACCGAGGCCTAGATGTTTTCTCTAAGGAGGTGACCTTCTTTTTTTTTTTCTTTAAAAAAAAATATCTTGACTGATTTCAGAGAGACGAAGGCATAGGGGAAGAGAGAGAAACATCAATGATGAGAGAGTCGTCATTGATTGGCTGCTTCCTGAATGCCCCCGACTGGGGATCAAGCCCACAACTCGGGCATTTGCCCTAACCGGTAATCAAACCACTGTCTGGATCCTAGGTTGATGCTCAACCGCTGAGCCACACCAGGCAGGGCAAGAGGTGACCTTCTGTGTCCGCTGTAAATTGCTCTGCCAGTTTGTTCAGCTATCTGTCTCAGTTTTCTTATTCCGCTTGTCCTGGCTTACTGTCCTGTCTCAGTAAGTGTTTCTGACTTACGCATCTAAAGGTCAATTGAGGTTTGGCTGATCTAGCCTGGCTTTGGGCTGCCTTGGCACCAAGTGTTTCTTATCCTCCTTTGACTAGTGGTTATTCAAGCCATGCTCTTCAAATGGCAAAAAGAAGAAATTCAAGAGAGCATGCTCAACTGTGCAAGCATAGTTCAAACCTCTGCTCATGTCATGTCTATTAACATCCTATTAGCCAAAGCCTAAATTCAAGAGGTGAGGAAATATATTCTTCTCATTGAGGAGAGAAACAAAGGTGAATATTTGTTAAAGATCTGATTTGCTATACCCTCTGAATTTAAAACTAGTATTTGTTTTTTACAGAAATATTATTCAGTATGTTGTCGTCAAAGAGCTACAGCTGTGCAAATACAGTGGTACCTCGGTTTTCAAATGTAATCCATTCCAGAAGACCGTTGGAGTTCTGAAACATTAGAAAACCGAGGAATCAACAGCTGACAGGTAGGCCTCAGGATCTTGTCCTCAGCAGAAGCCATGTGGCATGTTTGACTTCTGAGGCATGTTCGAAAACCGAAGCTTTTACTTTCGGGTAAACTGAAATGTTTGTCAACGGAGATGTTCGAAAACCGAGGTACCACTGTAGTTGATTCATGCAACTTAACAAACATTTATTGAATGTCTTAGAGATCAATAGGACACAGTCCCTTCCCTCAAGAAGCTCAGAGAAAGAACTCCAAACAAATCAAAATTTAATGTTATGAATCCAACAAAGCCTTTGCAACGTCCTGAGTTTGGTGTAATTATTCTCATCTTATCATAAGAAACTGAGACACGGAAGGATTAAATTATTTATTCAATATTATATTACAGAACTGAAATCCAACACTTTGGGGGGATAGGGGATTAAAATCCTAAACTCTTCTTGTCATTCCATACAACCTTCCTCAGAAAAGGAGCACAGAGGTGATCCAGTCCAATACTTCACTTAATAGTGAAATCTTTGCATCCTTACCGCAGCAAAAAACCAACACCTTGGTGAATTTAGGCACATTATAGAGGATGTAGAATGGATTATATATAATTTCCCCTGTTTATAATTCTGCCCTTTTTACTAATTGACTTAGATTGTTCATCAAAAACTAACCTTTATAAAAGTAGTAAGGGAGATTTGCAGGCCTATCCTGGGCTAATAGAGATCTGAGATGCTGAAGGATTCCTTAGTCAGTTTTGAAAATATCTGAGTCACAGACCGTAGCCTTTAAGTCGATTGAATTTTTGTCAATATATACTATTTTGATAATAAAGAAAAAATTGAGTGGACCATTGTGTTCTTTGGTCCTGAAAAGTGGAAAGGATTGTGGGCAATAACAAGGAATCCTGAGGGCTGGAGTGTATGTATTATGACTTTCACCTCTGTTAGCCACTCTGAAGCTATTATTATATTATTTTACATTAATATTTCTAATATAAAATGGCTCCTCATATTTGTTCAGAAGAACCTCCAAAGTTAATGTTTACAGAACCTTCACCATAACCATATTATGGCAAATTATAGGTACTGTATTATTATTCCCATGTTTAAAAAGAGAAACTAGAGAGAGAAACAAAAAATATGCATTTCACTTGGATAAATTAACAATTCACTGGAAGAATCCAAGATAGGCGAGGAATCTAGACTGGACAGTAGATTTTTTATTCTTGAAACAAAACTTTTGCGGAATGTTAAGCGCACAAATCATACCCAATCACTAAGCCTTAATTTTGTGTGGCCTGTCAGAGAGAAATTTAATAAGCACACTTAATGCTCAGGCAAGAACCAGAATAATTATGAATATTAAAAGGATTAGGAAGCTTGATGAATCAGAACAATTTTTCTGTGCCATCATTTTACACTGGAGGATGTTTGTCTTTTGTTTATTTCTTGCAGTGAGTATCATGTTTGTTATTTGGGGTCTGAATTTTGGTTCACTTCAGTTATACTTAGTGTAATACTGAATGCCAATATTTTGTTACTTCAATTTTCCCACTTACATTCCCCAATTCCCAAGCTTGTCAGCACTAGAGCGATTCCTTTCATGGATGTTCAGTATTGAAAATCCGTCTCAGTTTTGAGAGTTTCTTATACAAAGGCCAAGTCAGAGCTGCAGGTGTTGCTTCCCTTCCTTGATGACTGAGCATTGCAGCTGAGTCGGGCCTGTTTTTCAGGCCGCTTTCACTATTGAATCTATTAGAAAGCACATTCAATAGATCTTTGATGGAATCTGGAAAATAATGACAAGAAAAAAAGATATGTATCACTCTCACCTTCAGGTATAGATACTCAGAGAATATCTTATTTCTCAGTGGGCAAATATCCTTAGAGAGTTTTAGGAGCTGCTCCCACTTGGGTGTGTTTGCTATAGAAACAGGGGCTCACGTGTTTCCTGAGAGGATATTTGTTTACACAACAGGGAGGTGAGGTGATGGCCTGAGGTTTAAAAATAACTTGCCTATGAACATATGTGAGCAGGTCACTCCTATACGGAGCTATATCTATTAGAAATCAATATTTTTTCTTCTTACTTTCTTTTTTTGTCTTATTTTTAAAGAGACTTGTGGATGGAAACACTTTGGATCAGAAGGTAAGCATTTTCTCATCATGGGATAAATTATTCGGGAAAGGGTAAATTAAAGAGTTAGAGCAATTTGAGATGGGAACACTCAGCCCATTTCTATGCCAATAATGGATATTTACCTCACGGCTGTGTTTGAAACTTTCCTCAGCCTGCTTGTAAGGGCAAGAATTTATCATTTCAGGCATTTCTATGCCCCAATTTGATATTTCAACATCTGAATTTTACAGTTGTTTCTAGCTAGAAGGTAATTTGTCTGGCTCTTTATAAAAAATGTTGAAATAGCAAAAGTTTCCAGGAACATTTCTGTTTTTTGTTTAAAGCTAAACTGTTTTAATAGTCAATTTCCAAATTAAATGATTATGTCCTTAATTATTCCCATGGTTTGCAAGGTTATGGTAGAAAAAAGAAAAGGAAAAAAAAAGTCCTGCAGAAAACTCATGTAACTTGCACTACTATCTTTTGGAAATTAGATTCTTTCTTTTTTCTAATTCCTGCCATTTTCCTCTCCCACACAGATTGAATTACTTGTGTACCCTTTTTATATGAAGGCAGACTATTCCATTTCTTTCAGGCTGTTAATTCAGTCATTACTTCCTCTATTATAGGTATGACTCAGCTAAACTTATTATTAAGACTTGTTTCTTTTATCTCTTTTTTCCCTTTATTTTGGGGATGGATTGGTAGTGCCTTTCTTTCCTGTGAGGGAGCCTTATTGTTCTTATGGTGAAAGTTCCTAATTTATTTACATATTTCTAGGTATCACTTAATTGTTTTGTGGTGGTGGGACTTTTCTCTCCTTTGGATCAACACCTATTCTGTGACTTTCTCTTTTTATACTTCTTCTATTCATGATTGAGAGAGTATTGCTCTTCTATTTCAAGGAGAATTCTCTTCTATCTTAAGCAAAATATTTTTTCAGGTGTGATTCGGGCTTCTTTTGTCCTGTATTAGGTACAGCAGATATGATTATTTGATGAAGTACATATAAATGAAAACTATAAGGTGAAGTAGGTGAAATGATTTTTCAAAGTGCCATAGAATGCCAGTATCAGCGTCAGAACCCGATTGTTTCCTCTCTGATTACAAATCCCAGATTTGTTCTTTGGCCCTGTTGTCTCTCTCCATTGAGCAGTCTCAGGAGAACAGTGGCTGAGAAACAAGAGCTAGTCTAGATATTCCAGGACAGATCTGGCTCTGGGTGCTCTATCTTTTCTCCAAAGTGCCTTTTGAAAATCCATTGGCATGCTGAAGGAAAGGCATTAGAATTCTTCATCACTTATCCGTTAATTAGTTAATCAATATGTATTCACTGTTCCAGTTATGGTGGGTATACAGAGGTAAATATAGATAAAAGCTTCCACTTATTGAGAAACCTCTTTTATAAGAACTTTTTATACCCTTTTTCAAATCTTCACAACCATTGTTCAGGAGAATTGTTATCTCCATTTTACAGATGTGTAAACTGAGACTCAGAGAGATGAAATGACTTGTTCAAAATTACACAATCAGTAAATAGCTGAATTGATATTTTAACTCAGGTCTGTGTGGCTCCAAACTCATTCTCTTTCTGTTATGTCACATATCCTGCTCATTAACTCTTCTTTCCATGAACAGGACTTGGTCTCTGCCTATAAAAGATTTACATGTACACAACATATCACACATTAGATGACTGCATTCATATGAAATGTCCAGAATAGGCAAATCTATACAAACAGAAAGTAAATTAATGTTTTTCTAGGGCTGGGGATAAGAGGGTGGGAAATGACTGCTAATGGGTGTAGAATTTCTTCTTTGGGGTGAAGAAATGTTCTAAAATTGTGGTGATGGCTGCACAACTCTCTGTAACTATACTAAAAATTATTCAATTGCACACTTTAAATAGGTGAATTGTATGCTATGTGAATTAATCTCAATACAGCTAGTGTGCTGTTGCTTTTAAAAATAAGGTTAACAGTGTACTAAGGAAGACAGATCTATAAACAGCTAACATGACACCATGCAACATGAAAGCAGATATGAACAATACACTCTGGAAACTGAGGGGAAGGTGCAGTTGTTAATTCCAGGGGACTGGAAGATGCCTTTATGAAATAAGTGGCGTTGGAGCTGAATCTTAGAGCCAACTTAGAATACTGGTAGGCAGAAGATAGTGGATGCTGAGAAGACAGCATGTGCAAAATTCAGGTGTAAGGTTGGGGTTCTTCTGGGAGAATGGTGAGTCATGGTAAGTCAGCCCCTTGGAAGTTGATGAGGGGCAAGTGTGTGTGGGGGGCGTATAGAGGGACATGACCTTGGAAGGGGGTCCAACTATAAAATGCTGTGCTAAGGAGCTAGGCATTATTTTATATATTATAGAGAAGCTTTTTCATGGTGAGAGAGAGTATATTTTATTTTTCAAGTTCTTTTCAGCTTTATTGAAGTATAATTAACAAATAAAATTGTATTTATGGGGGGTGTGGAGGGATTGAGAAAAAAAGAGAAAAAACTCACGGACAGGGACAATTGTGTGGTGATTGCTGGGGGAAGGGGGAGGAGAGGGGGAGGGGAGGAGGAGGTCGAGGAAGGTATAGAGGGATAAATGGTGATGGACAGATTTGATGAGGGGGGGTGAACACACAATGCAGTGTACAGCTGATGTGTTATAGAATTGTGCACCGAAACTTGTATAATTTTATTAACCAGTGTCACCCCAATAAAAAGGAAAAAATTTAATAAAAATTCAATAAAAAGGAAAAAATTAAAAATAAAAGAGCCATTGCCATGGGGGAGAGAGGGAGAACTAACTATAAGAAAAAGCTTATTAATCTCTTTAACTAAATCCACACATAGCAGTAACACCATCATCCTAACACTATGCACACAAATTGAAAAGTAGGAGCTGAAGAGAGATAAACACAATANGGCCATTGCCATGGGGGAGAGAGGGAGAACTATAAGAAAAAGCTTATTAATCTCTTTAACTAAATCCACACATAGCAGTAACACCATCATCCTAACACTATGCACACAAATTGAAAAGTAGGAGCTGAAGAGAGATAAACACAATAGAGAGGAAAATTTTTTTATTTAAAGTGTACAATGTGCCCAGCAAGCGTGGCTCAGCAGTTGAGCATCGACTTATGATCCAGGAGATTGAGGTTCGATTCCCAGTCAGGGCACATGCAGGGGTTGCGGGCTCGATCCCCAGCAGGGGGCGTGCAGGAGGCAGCTGATCAATGACTCTCTCAGCATTGATGTTTCTATCTCTCTCTCCCTCTCCTTTCCTCTCTCTGAAATCAATAAAAAATATATATATACATTTTATAAAAAAATAAAGTGTACAATGTGATGATTTGCCATACATATACTTTGTGAAATGATTATCACAATTAGATTAATTAATACATCCATCACCTCACATACAGGGGTGGGCAAAAGTAGGTTTACAGTTGTGAACACGCAAAAACCAGAGTTTATTCTTATATTCTTATTTATTATTTATTGTATTTTCCATATGAACAACTGTAAACTTACTTTTGTCTACCCCTGTAGTTACTATTTTTTGTTTGTGTGTGATTAGAATACTTAAAGTCTGCACTTTTAGTAAATTTCAAGTACACAGTACATTATTGTTAATTATAGTCACTGTGCTGTAGATTAGATCTCCAGAGCTTACTTATCTAATAACTGAAGGCTTGTACCTGTTAGCCAGCATTTCACCATCTCCCCCACCTCCTGAACCCTGGTACCCACCATTCTATAGAGAGTATATTTTAAAACCGGATCTGAGTTTACTTTTTTTTTTACACCAGAGATCTAGTTTCAGCAAACCAACATGCATGAAATTAATGTTGCAAATTTAAATTTTCCCAATTTTGTTTTAATATGTATAGTATATAATTATAAATTCCTTTTGGTTTCATAATTGTATAATTGTTTAAAGTGTAAGGAATTTATACCTAATTGTATGCTTTCATTACAGTAAAATAAATGGATTATTAAAAACAATTATCCCTTTAAAAAAGTTCATAATTTACTGAAGTGAGAAATGTTAGTGTAGAAGATAAACTATTAATCAATGTCTCTTCCAAACCTGACCTGGGGTGCACCAATGTATACTAGGGGACCCTCTGGGTGTCCTCTTCTGCAGAGCCAAGGATCTGTACCTAAATCTCAGCACCATGTGTATATTATAGTAGGGTTTTTGTACAGTAATGAAATAAGAATTTTATAGTTTGCAGGAAATCTGACCTATTAAAATGAAAATTTAGATAGTTGAACCACTTAGAGTAGTCAGTAGGCATGACCTTACTGTAGGATGGGCCCCATGCTATGAATTTTATCTGATGATTTCAAGTTTTGTTTAGGTAATATTGCTCTAATTATCACTGTGNATGCTATCAATTTTATTTGATGATTTCAAGTTTTGTTTAGGTAATATTGCTCTAATTATCACTATGGAGAATAACGGCAATTTTCCAGCAACTTTTTCCCTTTGTCCACTCATCTGATTTAACATTTTGACGGATTCATTTGACAGAAACAAACAGGTTGACTAGTGTTGTACACTGAGTATGATTAAATATTATTTATTATTTTCTTAAGATATAAGGAATANACTAGTGTTGTGCACTGAGTATGATTAAATATTATTTATTATTTTCTTAAGATATAAGGAATAAGACTTTTTATATTTTTTCCTTAGAAGAAAACAAAGCAGTCAGTTTACTTTTTTTATTTTTATGTATAACCATTTATGAGAATGATGGAACTGAGTGTGCGGAGTGATGGAATTAGGTGTGTGCATGCATTCACTGTCACTGTCTTTAAGAGAATTCTTTGAGGTTATCAGTACCTACACCAGGATCTTTTCTTTGATTTCTCCTTACTCCCTTTTGTGGTCCTGGCATGTAGTGCTCATCTGCAGCTGAGAGTATATCAATTTAGTATGAGTTTTGCTTGCATATATAAACTAACTAAGTGCCCTTAACTCCAACTCTAAAAGCAACATCAAGTGTGCATGA